TCTTATATTATAATGAAGAAAAAAACGTTGAAAATAAAATTTTAATCTTCATCGTCACTTGAATCATCGTCGAGAGATAAAGAAAGAGTGAGAAAGGAAGAGAGGCGCGAGGTGGGAAATACATAGTTCTCAGTAGATGCACGCACCACACTATAGTGAGGATTTTAACTACTTCGGCTTGTGGAAATCGGCAGATTATATTATTTTCGTGATCCTTAAATGATTCCCTTGAAAATAAAATTAACCGCGCTCGAGTAAATCAAGGTGACGTTTTTTTTACAACGTTGTGACTCCCCTATTTCCTTAGTTCAAGCGCAAATCGTCAGATTATTGAAATACACACTTTTCTGAATGTAATTAACTCACCTTGCCTTAATCTGACGATTTTTTTACTATTCAGATCGGCTGCCCTAAGTGCACATCACTATAATATAAAGAGCTCACATTTGTTGGGGGTACTTAAAAGGGTGCAAGGTTTCCCCCTTCATGTTATTTTGCCGCACTCGTCTAAATCCTGAAATCCCCGCTTGAGCACTCCTACGGCTCCCTGGGTCCCTGACGGGCTCAGATGAAGTAAAAAAGGTAGTTACAGCGCGGCCTTTGTTATTGGTGAAGCCCAAAAAGTCCTTTATGTAAGCACACGTGTTCACGCACACACATGCATCAAACTACACTCATTTTCGCTCAATACTTCCCGGGGCGCCGTGTAGTAAATTTGCCTACAAAATGCCGTCCTGTGTAGTTAAATGATGCAAAAACGATACTAAAGTAAACAAAAAGTCTGAAGCAATATCGTTTCACTCGTAAACACTCATTTAACTATATTTTAATTTGTTATTCCAACACAACTTAGAAGGTTATTCAAGCACGAATGTTAATGTTTTGAGATTACGTAACGGGAGAATGTTACCAGTATTTCTTATTTCTAATGGTTCAAGATTTGGGTAATTTATTTTAGGCTAAGTTTTCAAAAATATATGTAGTCAGCACATTTTTTTTAAATTAGTTGTTACTATGTTACATCAAATAGAAGTCAAGGTATATATTTAATTTTTTAAGTCGCTGATGTTTCTGTTTTAATTGTTGAGTACTTACAAACTATTTTACTATCAAAAATATTTATAGTAAATTGGGTCGGCTCGACCGGGGAAGGACCACGCTCTCACAGAATACCAGCGTAAAATAGAAGCTTAATGCTGCTGTTTCGTATGGTGAGTGTAGAGAATCAGAGACCATTTTTACTGGAAACGAGGCATTCCATCTTAGTCCTCACGTTTGACAACACATCTGCATTTTGATTCGTAATCGATGATATATGTAGATGTCTATGGGCCACAGCAAACACTTACCATCAGGTGGAGTGTATGCTCGTTTGTAGCTGCTATGAGATTGAGCTGAAATGAACCAAAATGGCTGCCATCCTCTTGACTTGACAGTGGTAGATCCACGCAGCAGCTATTGATGTCGCATGGATGGGCCAGCTTGAACCGGGGTGGTAGCACAACCTCACAGAATACCTGCGTGAAGTAGAGTTTTACCTCTGCATTTCACCTGGGCTGGAGGCCGATTCTCCCTCCCCTTTGACATTGTACCGGAATCAAATAAAAACTACCCCAAGAGGGTACCCTCACTCCTGGTGACGGAGAACCCCTCGCTGTGCATCCACGATTAAGCTACTTTAATCTCCCTGAGCGTGGGTACTTAGGCTGCTCCGCGTATTCTGGCGGAGGAGGGGGGGGGGGGGATTCTGCTCGCGACTAAAACTGCTATGGAACACATTTACATTACATGGACAATCTATCAAGAAGACTTTTAAATTATCTACAGACGCCTCCTACGTGCTTCATATTTTTTGAATTATCAAATTGTTGAAATTTATTAAAACAGACAGATATACTTTCTCATTCGCATCGCATATTACTCTTATGGTTGTAGTATTATATCTCGATTTTCAGACTTTTAAAAAAAGTGGCAACACTTCTCCGACTCACACAAAGTTATAAAATTGGTTACAGTTTCTTGTTCTAGGTCATTGATTTATATATTACACTAGATCAGTAATAACCGCGCCAAAGCGTTGCCACTGCACATATGGCTACAGCCATATATGCAGTGCCACAGCACATATGGCTGTGGCACTGCACAGCATGCCTAGCTTACGTCGGTTCAGTGTTCAATGTGACGCCGACAGAGTTGAGCCGCGACAAAAAATGGGTAAATGCGTAGTGAAAGAATGCTATTCAAGGTTACAAAAACGTAATAAATCAAGCGGAATCACTTTCAACACATAATTTTTAGTTCTTGTTTTCATATAAACGTAAAAAACCTCAAATAATTAAATAAAATTATCGAATATTGCCATTTAGGTTCAATGTTGCCACTTTTCCGCATTTGTGATTATCCTACATTAATGGGAGACTATATAATTAATGTAGTAAGTTAATTTGCTACCTCTTATTTTAAATATTACGAAAATTATAATAAAAAATACGTTTTAACTTTCATACAAAATGATTAATTATTCTTATTTTAGTTTATTCATGAATTATCTATTAAATATATTTTATTACCTATTTTATATTGTTTGATTTATTAGTACAATAAAAATACTTATAAAAATATGTTTTATTTCATCATTATGTTTACTACTATTCTTCTGATAAGCTTTGTATCCTTTTTTTCTAAGGGGACGCAATAAAGATTTTAAAATAAAATACTTATACTTTTTAATATAAAAACAATTAACTGCAGCTTAAAAAAACTCATTTTTATTGCGTATTTTAGGTAAAATTTCATATAGTAAGCCACACCAACCCGCCATTGCATGTTTGTGTGTCTATCTTTATCTAATCTTAGCGACGATATTGTTTTCGCAACTTGTGTAAGTGAGATAGATATATGTTTATTTAAAATTGTTATTAGTTTCAAAGCTACGTCGTCGCGTTTGGATAGTGGTTACACTTTTTTCGACGCGCGGTAATGTGGTTTGCTCCTCTAGTGTTGTATAACTCAATGTTTTAGGTGCGATATCTACCTATTTTTACTTCATCTGAGCCGACAGGTTAGAACTAATTGCCGCTAGATCAAGATATTAATAGCGTCAAATGTTGAGGCCACACTAACGAGACATTCCGTTAATTATCGCGTTGATGGACGTTGAATGTTGGTGTGGCCACGACTTAATGCGTTAATTTTACAATGGCATTAACAAATAACAATGCCGTTTGGTTGCGATAACTCTAGTGACGTTAGATCAAAGAGATTGACGCATGAAATAACGCGTTGAAGCGGCTACACTGCGTTTGTCTCAGTGTGATTGTGCATGGTGGGTGCGACTGGTCCGCACGTATGGCTATGATGGATCGGAATATTGAAAAGTTAATAGGTTTCTTGAGATTTTGCAGAGCCATGTTTGTGGGATCCGAGACTCAAAAACTTTTAGAGTCCTACATTGCAAAATAATGCTTTGCTACCACTGAAGTAATATGTACTTACGTACTAGAACAGCTATTTCAAACAAAACATGTGCGTTACTCTGTGTTCGCGTGGTCGGTTTTTTTATCATAGAATAAACATAGGTAGAATGACCAGTAGGTAATAATAGATTGTATTGTTAAATAGGTAAATTATATCGAGAACAATTTTCAAATTTTGTCAATTATTTTGTATATTATATTTGCTTATTTAATATAATATTACATAATATTATATCACAATTACATTTTAATGATATTTTAAAAGGTATCTATGTCAAATATAAAAAACATACTAAATGTATGTTTAACAAAACTTATCAATATAAAATTTAAATTACAAATATATTTATTTAAATTGAATAAGAGTCGATCATAAATGCTGGGCACGCGAGAGTAAAAAATAGACGAATTTATTTCACTTTGACTTTGATGTGGAACCTAAAAATAATATAAATGAATAATGAGCAGATTTAAATATAAAAAATGGGCCTAATTATGATAACTCATATGTTTCTACAAAAAAAATGTACAAATAATATATTCGTCCTACACTTAAGCAACCACAGAAATGTCGCATTTGAACAAATTAATTTCATAATCTATCTTACATGACACAAGATGGCGTCTTAGGAATAATTTATTTTATTATTAATTTATAATAATTTTTTTTATTGATTAAGTATCTTATTAACCGATGAAAAGTAATACCTTGGTTTTTACTGACATTTCTTGAATTATTTATGCAATATCTAAGTACACACGACGGTATATTTTTATCAAGAGATTTTTTTTTAAATCAATAAAACACGTGACAACTCTATAAGCGCCTAGCGAGTGACTGATTAAAGTGCGGTGTATGCACCGCAGTTGAGTGGAACACAGTAGCTGAATGCAGTGTCGCCTCTAGTACGTAGTTCATAATAGCTCAATGTTTGCGACGAATTATTCAATTATTATCTTTTAAAACAACTATCGAAGACATTAGAAAGAAGAAGGAAAGTCTAATGGGTTTTTATAGAAACCATTTAAACAAATATGAAAAGTTTTCAAGGAATATCAACACCAGCTTTAACGCCGTTCAATGGCATTGAAATTGAAATAACGTTGACCGTTCAAGTGTAGCCGTAGCCAGTCACTTTATTGCGTTAAATTTAAAGCAATTTCTCGTTAGTGTTACCCCAGCATAAGCGCCATAGCGCCGTTGTATTACATAGTACCCGCTATCCGCTATGTAAAGATACGCGCTGCAATATGACGCTATGCGCTATTTTAAAACCACCATTGCAGAGTACAGGGAGGGCATGACATTTGATTTGACATATTATAATAGACCAATGCCAAGGTCCTATTTGTCAAATATTAGCCTTGCCTTTTATTTTATGATCTATGAAATATTATATTATAATTCTGATTTTTTATAAGTAATTATATTAATAACTGCCTTTAGCAAAAACGTTTAAAAATTTACTAACTGGTTTATTTACATTGTTGATAAATTTAATATTAGGCTAGCATATGTAGGTAATGTCATACACTGAGCTTGAACATGGTTATCAAGGCTTGCGGCAAGCTACTCAACCACAATTTTATGTTGGAGATGATGGGAATCTTGTTCCTATAAGATCACCTGTAAGTTACTCTGCAATTATTGATCTTTAACAAATTTATTAAACTTACTCTATACGCCTGTCTTATGAAAGTAAACATTTATTAATTGATGCACGAAATACAGTAAATCTAGGAAGATCTAGTTATAGCAAAGAAGTTGTTATTATTTCACAAATTTATTACATGCATTATTGTTATGGCTTCTCACATACTGCATAATGAAAACTGAATAAATAAGTATTTGTTACTCACTGTACACTTACAAAGCATATTTAGATAAAATTGTATGTTTAGTATGTTGTGTACTAATTTAAATATTTGGTAAGTAGTTGAAACAATTACTTCGGCTGTTATTCTGCATATAACACATACACATAATCTATAGTACTAATTACTTAATAATAGAGGTGACAATGACAAGTGAGTATAAAAGTATGTTAATTTGTCAAATTTATTTTAGTTATCATGATTAAAGTGTCTGTGACGAACCACTGCTAAGTGCCGTTTGTTTTTTTTTTCGTATCAACTTAGATAATTATGATAACAGTGATTAAAGTTATAAGATAGTAGCTATTAATGGAGTGGCAGTGGCTTAAGGAGTGGTGGCGGCTTAAGAGATGGAGGACCAAAAAAGAAAAAGAACAGAATGAGGATGACTTTTGCTATTGTGATGATTGTTTACCTGATGTAAGCTAACAATTAGCAATTAATTGTATTTAAATGTCCACAAAATATTTTTTCAATGTCACACACTTATATGCTTAGTAAATAATGTTAATTAAAGTTATTACTTATTGTTTACTGATTAATAACATCTGATTGTTTAATGTTATCAAAACTGAAAGAAAATTATTTAAATATAAAGTAAATGTTTTTCCATTTAAATTATCAAAGTAATGAATAATGTTGTAAATTATGAAGTTCTACCAAGGTTATTTATATTTGATACACTTTTTTGATACTGGATTAAAACAAGTTAATAATCTCCCTGATGTAGAATGGATACCCATGGGTTCAAACAAAGGATTAGCTTCAAACAAAGGAGATGTATAGTCTAATAAATATGAAATCAGAAACCATATAAATAAATATGGCGGATGCTGCGTGCTTGACTGAAAATAAGTCTGTAAATGATACAGCATCAGTTGTCAATTTCATATTCAACTGTAGCCTAATGGTTAAAGATGCAGAGGCAACTGTAAATAAAAAAAATTGTGTGTGGGTTCAAATCCGCAGTTATACTACTGTGTAAAATCACTCCTAAGACAAGCATTTTTAGCTTATTTGAGGTTCTTAACATAAGCACAGTAAAATAATAAATAATAATGATAAAAATAATTAATAATAATGCTAATAGTGTTATTAGTATTCTTTAAAAAATACTACTGAAGAATACATATCACTTGATAAATTTTTTAAGCCATTCACCATTAGCCATTATCACTTTGTTTACAGATAAAATTATACAAAATGGCAGTTTTATAATGAAAATGATATTTCTTTTAAATAATGATTACAAAAAGTGTTAAGATCTGGTTAATTTAAATCAAAATGTCTCAATTGATAATTAGTGTATGACAAGGAAATCTTTATGGTGTTACATTTTTTCTGATTTCATTTGAAATTAGTAATTGTTTTTAAACTTCAAACCGGACTAACATCAGAGTGTATATGCTAATTGGGGATACAAATAAGTTAGAGAGTGGAATCAACTTAAATGTATTCAAGAGGCAGTAAATGAGCAATATCATATATTATGTTTTAATCTCGCTTTTAGGAGAATATTAATATTCTAGTCTATTAATTCTTTAGATGTTATTGTGCATTTTGATTTTTTTAAATGATTATTTTCATTGCTAATTTTCAACCTGCGCTTTCCATTATACAGTTTTGCAAAAGTTTTTTGACTGATTGAGCATTAGTGATGCAACAGAACTCCATTTCTGTTTCTGCAACTGTGGAAGTTCCGCATGGGTTTTAACATCCGTTTCTGCTTCTGTTTCCGCAAGTTTTATAACGGAAGTTAGAATGGAACTCAGCGACGCAGTGGACGAGGTACGCGTGAATCGTTTGAAATCGTACAAGAGCGGGCGTTTCAGCCAATCACAACAGAGCTGGGCCCATGCTTTCGGCACTTGTCCCAACGCTTTTGTTTACATATTTTAAATTCATTATACGCCGTGACGTGAGTTTAAGTGCGTAAGATTTTCTGTTATTGTTTCTTTTAGTTTATTAGTAATTTAAATCGTGTGTGTAATTAAAGTGCAATCATGAAGCCAAAAACAAGTCCTGTTTGGAATTATTTCGTTGAGATTGACGATTTAGGAGCCAGATGTAAAATATGTGACAAAATATACTCGCGAAAAGGCCGCACAACTACCGCTTTAAAGAGCCATCTTAAAGCGATACACGCCGAAGAGTTTGCAGAGTTTGAGAAGTTAGACGAAACTGTAAAACTTTCATCGCAAACTAAAAAACAAAAGGTCAGTTAAGGAATTGCATACCTATTTATTTATAAAATGTAAAATAAATGCCTTTGTTACAACTTAGATTTGTACAATTAATTAGGCAGCAGTTATGTTTGCGTGAAGTTTATATTAATTATTTTTTACGTTAAATTTATATTAATTGATTTTAAAGATACTTTGATGAGTATTTTGGATTCTAAGTTCGTTTACTTTGTACCTTCGTGCTAGGGCTGTACTAAATTACCTACTCGCTAAATCTAAATGAGGCCCTTTTAAAGGGTCTGCCCATATTTGAGTGTCAATTTTGGTATAATATTTTATGTGGTTGTAGGTTTATTCAACACCGGCTGAAACTGCAAAAAACAATTAACACTACAACAAAGTCTGCAAGTTAATGATTATTGGGATTCATCACATTCCAAATCTCAACGAATTGATCATATGATTGCGGAAATGATTGCTCTCCAAAACTTACCATTCAATTTTGTTGAAGGTACAGGCTTTCGCAGATTAATGAACGCTGCTCTTCCGAGGTACAAACTAAAAGGTCGTGATTATTTTTCATCGTATGTGTCGATAATTTGTACAATAGATTTGCTAAGAAAACTAAAGTTATACTTTTAGAACTTGATAAGTTATCTTTCACAACTGACATATGGTCTGATCTTCATTCTGGAATTTCATTGCTTAGTTTAACTGCACATGGAATTTCCGAGGATTTTTACAAAAAGAATATAATTTTGAAATGCGAAGTCATGGATGAACGCTATACGGGTACCGTAATATCAACAAAATTTCAAACTATTCTTGAAGAATGGGGCATACACCTTGAAAGAGTGCATTGCATGGTCCGTGATCGTGGATCTAACATGGTTAAAGCAATGCAATTGTCAGGCTTTGAGGATGTCTTTTGTAAGGAATAATATTTACCAATGGAAAGCTATTAATTAATAATTAAATTTGATTTATTTTCAGTTGGAACAGCACATTCTATATGATGGAACGGTTTTCGAAACTGAAAGATTCGCTTGTCTTATACCTAAGTGCTAATCCAATCGCTATAATCTCCCCAGAAGATTGGATGAATGTTTTAAAATTTGTGCAATTAATGAAACCTTTTGAAGAAATTACGAGAAACTTAAGTAATTCTGAAGTGAGTATTTCATCAGTCATACCTTTGATTCAAGTTCTTATGACTACAATACAACAAGAAGAGACGAAACCTGATACTTCAGAACAATTCCAGAACTTCACAAGAAGATTACGCGATGAATTGAACTCAAGTGCGCGATTTGGAGAACTGAGCAAAGACTATAAATACACAATTGCGAAGTATTTAGATCCGCGATATAAATCTAACTTTTTCACCAGTATCACTGTGGAGCAGGTGGAGTCTAAAATATTAAACATGGCGATCACCAGAACCAGAGTTCAAGAGTTCCACTTGCGATGACGGCATACCTCCCCCCAAAAAGTGCCGAACTCAAATTCACTCGAATGAAGTTCAACCTACATCGTCATCAAATATAAATTCATCAATACAAATATTAGAATCCATGCTAAGCAAGAAAAGACCAGGAAGACTCAATTTCAAATAACGAGAATGACAAAGTTTTGGAGACACATTCTCAACTTCAGGAGTACAAAAAAGAAAAACGATTGTCTTTGATACATGAGGATCCCCTTGTATGGTGGAAATGAAATTCACACAAATATCATAATCTTTTGCCATTAGTGTGCCAATATTTATCAGCTCCTGCCAGCAGCATCGCCAGTGAGCTCGACTTATATATGAAGAACACAGAAACAGATTGTTAGGTGTAAAAGCGGCCAAACTACTTTTTATAAAATATAACCTACCGCTACATAATTTTGAATATTAATTAAAAGTTTTATTTCTAATGTTTTTACAAGTATTGCCGTTTCTGTTTCCGTTTCTGCAAAAAAATATTTATAACTTCTGTTTCCGTTTCTGCTTCCGTTATGACACTTCCGTCGCATCACTATTGAGCATATATAACAGGGATGGAATGTAGACTGCATTGAATAAGAGATTTAGTAATTACTGCTGCTTATCACATTTGCCATAGCAGAGATATTACTGAAAAATGTTTTGTTTGGGTGTCTATTTTTTTTTGCCCACTTTCTGTGGGGCTAGTTCTGAAATGAAAAAGTATGTTGTAATGCTCCTTCCCTCCTTTTCAATGACAATGACTTCAGCTTTTGCTCTCTTAAGTTTGTTTGCTGTTTTATATAGATTTGTCATAAATAGTTATTATGCATATTATTATAAATAAATAATGTTATGCCATTCATTATGCTACATGCTAATACATAAGTGCAACAAGGATGGGAAATCAAACATAGTTTGAATGTAGTTTGAGTGTTATAATTGGCATGAGTTCAAATCTCTCTTGAATCTGGCTTACAGCGTCGAATATCACTTTAAATAATAATAATGTTATTGACATTGACATTAGTGTCAATTGGCCTTCACACATAGGTTTCGGAACTCAGAAAAAATGATGTGCCACTCAAACGCACACTCAAAAGTGTATGTGTAAAAGTATTATGCGTACCTACAATCAACAGAACTCCGTCGCGCTCGCACTTTCATCGTTGTATCGCAGCGCACACGCTAGAGAACACACATGTGATAATATATGGCTTCTAGCAATTGCACCTGTGCCAGTGGAGATTAAGATCTAACCTGAGACCCCTTAATTCGTAGGTAAGATACTATCAATATCAACAAAGCCCTGGGCTCTCACAGAAAGAGTGAGATGGGAGAATAAATTCCCAAAAGCACTTATTATAATGTTCTTCCTATTCCATCAAGTCGCAATACACGCCTGTTACTAGCTATGACTGACACTACTCCAATGATATCCCGGATGTCAATCTGAGCGAGATTAGAATGGCTCTCCAGCACCTTATAAATGGAAAGTCTCCGGGCGAGGATGGAATTACAGTAGAGCTTTTGAAAGCGGGTGGAAAACCGATACTTAGTCCTTCAGAAGCTCTTCAACTCCATCTTCCATGGTGGCACTACTCTGGAGGCGTGGAATAGAAGTGCGGTGGTCTTGTTCTTCAAGAAAGGTGACAACACCCTCTTGAAGAACTACAGACCGATTTCCCTTCTGAGTCGCGTCTACGTGCTATTTTCAAGAGTCATTACAAATCGTCTAGCACTCAGACTCTAAGACTTCCATCCTTTACAAGCCGGTTTACGAGGCGAAAGGCTTTAGCACCATAGAAGTCCAAAGAGCCATATAATCTGCCACTGTCTCTTGGGTATGTAGACTTTGAGAAAGCCTTTGCTTCCGTCGAAATCTGGTCCCTTCAACGGTACCCAGTGGACTGTGGATATTTCCAAGTACTGAAATGCTTGTACAGTAGGGCTATGATGGCTATCCGAGTACAGAACCAGAGTATGAAACCTATTCAACTGCAGAGAGGTGTAAGACAGGATGACATAATATTCCCGAAACTCTTCAACGCTACATTGGAAGACGTTTTCAAGCTACTGAACTGGAAAGGATACGATATTAGCATCAATGACGAGTACATCACCTTCGATTTGCCGACGATATAGTCCTTATGGCAGAATCGCTAGAGGACCTAAGTACTATGCTCAATGACCTCAATAGTCCTCAACCTCAACGTCTCCCAACAGCCTATCCGTCTTAAAATGAACAAGGACAAAATAAAAGTCATGTGTAATGTCCATGTCAATCCTATGCCGGTAGTTGTGGGGAACACTAAGCTCGAAGTCGTTGACGAGTACCTGGGACAAATAGTCCTGTCTAGGTACGTCCAACTTCGACCGAGATTCGACTCGGCTGGGAAGCGTTCAGGAGATTACGACATATCTTCTCGTCAGGCATACCTCAAAATCTCAAAACTGGATTGTACAACCAGTGCGTGCTGCCAGTGAGGATGTATGGATCTGAGACGTGGTCCTTCACTGTTGGCCGTATGAGGAAGCTCAAGGTCGCTCAACGAGCTATGAAGAGGGCTATGTTCGGAGTTTCTCTGCATGATAAACTTTAGAAATGAGGATATCTACAGTAGAACCAGTGTGACCGACATAGTCCAATGGATTAGTAAGCTGAAGTGGCAATAAGCCGGCCGTATATTTCGAAGAACTGACAACTGATGGGGAAGAAAGAGAAAGGTTTTCGAGTGGCAGCCTCGTACCGGCAGACAAAGTGTAGGGATCCCCACACTAGACGGATTGACAACCTGGTAAGACATGGAAGAAGTCGGTGGATACAGGTAGCTCGGGACCGTGTTTTGTGGCATTCCTTGGGGGAGGCATATGTTTAATAGTGGACTTGTTAAGTGCTGTAATGATGATGATGTTGATCTGGTTTTATTGCTAGTCATATAGCTATAACACCAGATCTAGCAATTATGGTAGTCGTAAAAGCAACCATCACTCAACAAATTTATATACCCTGGGAATACTATACTTATATAACCTGGGAAATTACACATCACGCCGAACTGAGCGTAAAACTTGACCTTTTCGTGTAGTTTGATATACACTAAGCCGCTTCCTCGGAGTGTGCTCATATGCGCGGTTAGGAACTTCACTATACAGAGTGTGATCTGAGCCTATATGTGAAGGGCTGCTAATGAAGTGTAATAATAACCCTGTAAACATTTTTAAAAACCCGTCCAGTACCTTACACTTACACATTAAAAGAAAGGATTTAAAATAAAATTGATCATTGTGGAGAATTTCAATTCCATTGCATATCTTTATTGAAATAGCCAACACCAGTAGTTCCTGTAGTAAAGAATAACTACCCAGTGCAAATAATGAAACATGCTATAGTACAATATAAGGACATGAATTGTAATTTGAATGCTGGAAACAGTAATATATTTCTTTGAATACTTTTGACATTAACGTGACAGATATTGTTAAAGTGCCTAATAAATATACAGTTTTTAGAGAGGGGCATGGTGAGCATACCATACCAAAGAAGCTAAAACTAAATTATTTTATTCCTAAAATATTAAAAGCTCGACCTGTTGCTTACGCGTTAGAAAAATGATTGAAACTGAAATTGTTTGTTTAGTGGGGATAATCCGCCCATTGTCTTTTTCAAAATGGGCAATACCTGTAGTTCCTATGGTAAAGATAAATAGAACATTTTAAAACCTATACAAAAAGAGCTGAGGATCTTCAAACGGGTGAACCGATTTTGATAAAACATGTCTGAGAACCACCTTAGAAAACCTGTTTTTAAATAAAAAAATACCCAAATCGGTTCACCCATTTAAAAGCTACGGTGCCACAGACAAATACATAGCGGTCAAATTTGTAACACCCCCCTTTTTGCGTCGGGGGTTAAAAAATGGTGACTTACGACTGCGGAGACTTTCGCGGTTCGGTAAATCAGGCAACTGAGTCTGGTACGTATTTAATGCCCACCGCTAGCGAAGTGTTTGCACTAATTGCAGGTGACTGTTATTGTACGACGCTAGATTTGGATTTTTGACAGAACTACTATGTGCAAGTGGTCACAGATGGAACAACGAAGCTTTTAACTTCAGACACTTGTGATTATTGTGATCGTACGTGGGAGATATATAAGCGTTCGGCGAAAAGGCGTGTCCGGGAATCATATCAACGTCTGATGACAGCACAGCTAGCTGGTGCGGTGTGCCAGGTGTGGCAGTGCTGATTAATTATATCGTTATCAGCGTCTGCATGACGCTGCTGCAACGTCTGACGGAGAAAAAGTTTCTTCGTATTTTGTTTGTATAAAATTGAAGGAAAGTCGCTTTAGTTGTACTGTGTGTATCCGGCTGGTTTTAATACCAATACATATAGGACATTAAGAAAAAAAAAAGGAAAAAAAACACTTTCCCGCCACATTTCAATTGTTTTTCTGTCCGCTAAAATCTAACGAAGAAATTCGATACATTCTGGAGTTTTATAACAAAAGGGAAAAACGCGACTGCAGTGTCAGTAGTAGAGTAACACAAAGTTGGTTCAAGCGTTTTCGGTTAGGGAATTATATATCTTGCGTGCGCGACGCAGTGGAGCGAGCGGCGGCGTCGCGTCTGTGCGTGCACGTCTTTGAGTATTATATGTATACCAAGTACACATGCATGACTATAGATATGAATATGACCGTAACATATGACTTAATTATTCTATAAAACATTATTCCTATTTTTATTTCTAAATAAAACACAAAAAATATAACACTTAATTTACATATATGCGTCATACCTAGGCTGCACTAAAAGTATCGGGAATGGAATATTTCCACTGTTCCTGTCATATTAAAATCTTTTTAATTGAAAACTCCTTGGTTTTAAAAATCGAATACCATTTATTTATTTAAAAAAAGATTCTCGGTCTTGTCACAAGGATTTGTCAAACTTGTTTAGTCGTTGAGAAAATGGAATTGGCTCGAGAAAATTCAAGAA